CTCCTATCTTGTATACATTTTACCTTTATTCTTTACCTCTTTTTTCTGGATAAGTTTGGATTTGGAAATGGATGATTGTCTCTGTACCGTCTTTGAGTTTTGAAGTGAATTGTTAAACTGTATTGAGTGGTCCAGTGGATTTTTTTGCGTGTGGATCAAGACAAAGGGGGTGATTAGAGCATCAAGCTATGGCTTCACTGATTGGAAACCTACACAGGGGCCACATTTAACATCAGCAAAACGATATCAGAACAACCTAGTCTCATTCCAAAGTCACTGAATAGTGACTTTGGCATAATACACCAATGAAAAAAGCCTCCCTTTCATGTTGGCATGGCACAGTGCCAGGTGCCATGAGCATGTAATAGCACCCGGCAGCATCAGGTGGAAACGCAGTCAATGTAAAATAAAGGGGGTAAAAGTCAGAGTAGGGTGGGCAGAAGGGGCAATGTATAGGTCCAATAATCACTGACTTTCACCTGGGAGACCGTTGTTACCACATGCTTTTGTTGCCTAAACCTAACCTCGTGCGTGTGTTGGCTGTGCGGAACCATGTGTGTTTGTTGTTGAAGGAAAAAAAACATCCATTTACAGTGTTGCACTGGCGTAGTACGGCCATTTTGAAAGAGACTTTATGTAAACTGTACATTTCCTGTAAAAATGGAATTTTCAAAAAGACACAATGCATGTAACAGACTCAAGTTACCACGGTGTACCAGAACATACACAACAGATGTACCCAGGGTAGCTTGCACATCATGTGTAGACCTGGAAAGTCCACGACCAAGAGACAACATGTGACGCGGCTGGAGTGAGAATGTGTTGATCAAAATATCTGTTTGCAAACTCTCACAACACATCTTGTATAGTATAAGTCTTTCTATCAGTCGTTTGACTCAGTGCTTCACAAACACATGCATTTTCACTAAAACATTACAATTTAAAACGTCAGTACAGTCTCATGGACACTGAGTAGCCTGGGCATGTCCATACCTCCTTGTTCTCAGTAATGTTTTAAAGCTCCACTCTTGCCTGCCTCGAGCACTTTATTCCTTAAAATCTCCCTCTCTGAATTATATTCACTGCAGTGCATGATAATGTCTTTGACATCTTCCTGGCTGTTACACCACTGACGTAGATTTGATTGACTTTTCTCATTTTATATATATAACGTGGACAAGAACTGACTTTTGAATATTTTAATAATGTCTCCCTTTACTGTCAGTATCCTATTACTTCTGCCACACGTTCATTATTGTTCTGATAAGTGACATCACCCCTCCCCTACCTATGCTACTTTTATCAATTTGTTGTCATTCATTTTGAGAGCCTTCTTTGCCAGTTTATCCGACTGTTCATTGCTGTAAACACCTGTGCTCCACCTGTGAGCTGGAACCCGACAAAATTGTACGTCTAAGCCCATCCTTGGTAACCTTGACAATAAAATGCACATTTTCATCATAAGATCCTCTTTTTGACTTGATGATAGACCTCTGAGAGCTGCTGAGTCTGAGCAAATAACTGTTCTCAATGGCTGTACTTGCTCTACCCACTGTAGGCCAAAATGATTGCGATTATTTCGAGAACACTGACAATTTATCAATTTCTGATATATATTAACATAAAATTCTGCAATGTATATATACCGGCTCACACATGCCCATCTCATCAGGATTCTTGGAAATCTGTATATCTATCCATTTTCATCCGCTTATCCGGGGCCGGGTCGTGGGGGCAGCAGACCAAGCAAAGCACCCCAGATGTCCCTCTCCCCAGCAACACTTTCCAGCTCCTCCTGGGGGACCCCAAGGCGTTCCCAGGCCAGATGAGATAAATAATCCCTCCAGTGTATTCTGGGTCTGCCACAGGGCCTCCTACCAGTGGGACGTGCCCAGAACACCTCCAATGGGAAGCACTCAGGAGGCATCCTGATCAGATGCCTGAAACACCTCAACTGACCCCTTTCGACGTGATGGAGCAGCGGCTCTACTCCGAGCTCCCGATGGTTCTCTGAGCTCCTTACCCTATCTCTAAGGCTGAGCCCAGCCAACACACGAAGGAAACACATTTCAGTTGCTTGTATCCGTGATCCACCCAGAGCTCATGACCACAGGGGAGGGTTGAGATGCGGACAGACCAGTAAATTGAAAGCTTCGCCTTCCAGCTCAGCTCTTTCTTTACCACAATGGTCTGGGGAAGCTGCATCAAACCGCTGATCCATGTCACGCTCCATTCTGCCCTCACTCATGAACAAGACCCCAAAATATTTGAACTCTCTTGCGCAAGGCAGTAACTCTCTTTTTTTTTAAACAAACCCAATATGCCACTGACAATTTTCCTCATCTAAGATGTAGTGTTAGTCCACTGGCCTCTCCTGGCAGAGCATTTACTGGGGTTGTTCTCGGAGCTCCTAAACACAGTCTTAATGCTCTGATTTGAACCCTGTCTCGTCTCTGCAAAGTTGTCTTACATCTGTTACCATACTATACTTTCATTATCCATAGGGGATCTTATCAGTGTCTGGTACATATTTTGTCAGTCATGTGCATTTGAACTCTGCTCAGGCAGAGTTCAAACGCACGCATGTCCTCAGGCACGCTCAGGGCACGCTTGTAGGCGGAAGTGTGTTATAGTGACTTGTCGCAAAATGCATGTGTTTGGGAAGAAGTGAGGATACAAATGAGAGTAGAATTAAACTGCTTGACTTGTGTGAGAGTTTATAAGCAGATGTTTTGATATAGTTTTGCTGCTGTTAAACGTGGTCCATGTTTATTTCAGTTCATGGAGAATTTTCGGCTTTTCTGGATTCTCCATTCACCATGGAGGCCTGCCAGTAAAACAGTTTTCTTCACGGAATCAAGGTGACAGGTGGTGAGTAAGTGATATTCAAATGGTGATTTTACAGAAGAAATATTCTTTTAATGGGGAAATAAAGAAACCACATGCAGGGCAATGGAAGATAGAAGGTGTACTGAAGTAGATAAATGTGGTGAGGATTTTCTTGTAGTACAATTGCTCACCATTTAAGCCAGTTCTGTGTGCTGTATTTCTATTGAATTGTGCACCAACAATAGTTGCCTGGCAGTATATAATAGCCTACTATCCTGAGGAAAATACAATACAAAGCATTAAAGGGTTGGTTGACCCAAATCACTCAGTGGCGTCCAGCCAAAGTGCAGAAAGTTTAGTTTTAATATTTTTAGAACTTTCTTAGTGACTTCTTCCATACCTGCAAAAAACAGGGATGATGAATCCTGTTACACAACTTACATTAGACACAGCATGAGTACAGTGAGATGGAAAAGAATTTCTATCCAGCTTTATGGAAGTCACATTGTAGTTGTACAAATCAAACATCCGTGTGTGTCTTGTGTCTGACTATGCCTCTGGTGTTTGGAGTTTCCAAGAACATACAAGTGCATTATAGAGCAATTCAAATTTATCAGACGTAAATGTCAAATGCTTCGGCTTTGGAATAGACTTGTGAAGATGGTCAGAGACTCACTAAAAAGATATTTAATAGGGACACCTCCAGCTGTCATCCCTGGGCTGATGAGTTAAAATCATTATTTTATTTGAACAATTTGTCATTTATTTTCCAGAACAGGTTATTTTGTGATATTCAGGAGCTTAGGAGTGGAATATTTTGCATGTTTAGAGGAAAATGACATGTTGCTATATGATATACACCAAAACTACAAACTCATTGTCTCATAAATAACAGCTACTGTGTAGAACTTTATGTGAAGCATAATCTAAACTGTCCTGTATATGAGGACACAAGATTACCTCTATTCATGTTGATTTTTTCTGGATGGATGAGCATGAAAAATTTGAATTTTGTTTCAGAAAGGGAATTTTTTTGTTGCTAAATTTCTTTGTCAGGCCTGGGATAGAAGGCAGAGTGTCCTGACTGAGCAGTTAAATAACATGTACTTTGGATTGTTACTGCACCGTCATTGTAATGGTGTCTTGTAAACCCATGAGAGTTGGACACATGTAAATGCGCATGACACACATTAAAAAAATCAATCAATCTGCAAATTCAAAGTTGAAAAAATAATTAAAATGACCACTAGGTCTGGTCAATTTTATACATTTAACAGTCTGTAATGATGTATGTGACAAATGCTCCCGCTATCAGCACCCAGATGACTGCCACTGATTGATGTGTAACACTAGAGACCGCCAGTGAGCCACGTTACGCGCATGGCTCTGGGCGAACGTGAATGGTGAGTAAATGTGCCTTATCGACTGTATGGGCCTATTGGCTGTGATGGTATGATGGTCATAATGAAAGCACACAGGCAGCTCGTGACACTGACACTGACAAAAAGCCCGATAGAGACTCAACACGTGAGCGAGAGATGAAACGTGTAGGTCACAACTTCGGCGGATTGTGCGTAAAAATGCATCTCTGTGCGCAGAGACTGACACGTGAATTCATTTGATTATTGATTCCACAGTGAAATAAGCGGTATGAGTATGACTGATGATCAGGGCTGATTGTGGGAAACATAATTCATGTCAGCTCTGGTGACAATAGCAGCAATTTCTCTATACTTCTGCTTCCACCTGCGCTCTTTATGTCACAGAGCAGCGACAGGCTTCTGTACTATACTGTACACAGATCAATAGATCCGGCTGTCTGTCATAATTGTCACTAATATTAAAATGGGTGGCTGCTTTAAGCCTGAGAGATGTATTTTATTACCACGGGCGTTTTTGTAAACATGAGCGATAATGGCCTGTATAAAAATACGAATTGTGTATATCCCAATTTATTTCTGTTCAATTGTCACCATGAGCTGCTCGTCATGTGCAGTTTTGGAGTGAAAGTGTGTGCAAAATGTCTCTCTGGAGCCTCTGATGAAACGGTCAACAACACTGAGGGCGCACGGATTCCTCGCCTCAGCTGAGTAGACGACCTCCTACCGACTTACTTCACGTCACCCCGCCCGTCTGCCTGCCGTCTCCTCCCTAAAACCTTCGCTGCGACCATCCCTTTGAGCGACTCTGGGCTGAGGGGGGAAAAAGAGACTGAGAGAGACAGAGGGAGAAAGTGTGTGTGTGTAAGAGAGAGCACAAAATACACGCAGACTCCCCAACATCACCTAGACTACCTGCTCCATCCAGCACAACAAGGAGGAGGAGGAGGACGCAGAAGTGCAGGCGCGTCCATGCGTGCCAGCCGAACAAGACAATAAGCGGGCAAACAGGAACCACAGATCCAAAATTGGAATAAGAGTTTATCTTGAGAACTCTTTGGGAAAAAGAGCACAGCTTTGCTACAAGAACAAAGACAGCCTAAATGAGTACATGGTAAGAAGAGTCATGCATCTCAACAGAGAAGAAGATAACAGCAAAGGTGAGCAAAAGATTTCAGCGGCCATCGGTGGATGGTTTTAATCCAGACTCTCTGTATAGTTCAAAGCTCTCGCGTTGGTTGCCAGATGCCCTTGAGTGTGTCATGTTGATGTCAAGTAATGATGCTGGGGGTCATTCCAACAAGCTGATGGTAACTGCTGCTGTGGTGGTTTTGTTATTGCCTGTCTGCCTTTCACCAAAAAAGCCTTGCATGGCAGCGAGATGGGCTGTTGCATATACACCCCAAGGTGGCAATGTGGGGACTGTCTGTGGGAGACAGCCACTTGAGCGCTTGTTGTGCCCGATTCGGTCGTTTTCGCATGAGGTGACCTGAGCGTAAATGCACAAGGTCATCCCTTCTCGGTCATACTGATGAGCAACGTGCCGTGTTGGTGTAGCCGCGAGGTGCGTGTGTTTGTACTGTTGTCTGTAATTGAGTCGCCACGGATGTGTGTCCTCCGTTGTGGTCGGAGGGGAGAATTAGAGAGCAGACGGTGTGTAATGACACGAACCCCTCCATCAGGATAAGTAATGATGGAGTAAATAGCTCCTGATGCTTCTGCCAGAGCCATGCAGGGTATTTTTACTCCCAATCTTTGAACTGAGGTCGAGGTCACTGACTAACACCTGATGCTGAAGGAGATTTGCCTCTGACTGTCTGTCGACATGACGCAGCTTGTGTCTTATTATGCATTGTTAAATAAACACCAATAGGACTTGTGTTGTGTCCACCACACCCACATGGAGTAAGTTCAGCATCATGTTATGTACAGTGTGACTGACACATGCATAACCTGGAGACTTGTGTCAGATTCACCAATTATTGCATGTAATGTTAAAAAAAGCTCTCCAACTATGCAAATGTAAAATAAATGAGATGCCAGCAGTGCAGCTCTGAGCAGAACCCCATGCTTTTAAAGTTAAAAACACTATACCACACTGTAAGTGTTAGAAATCTCTCTATAAACTCACATCTGAGCAGCATGCTGATAATGATGTAATATTGCTGGCGAGGGAATACAACATTTCATTTTTTTTATGTGCAGCTGTCAAGCTTTATGGCCGGCTAATATCTTTGTTTTCACCAGCTGTAAAGCATGCTGTTTAGTGAGGAGTTCCCCATGCGGCGAGTGGCGCTCTGCACAGTGGCACTCTGCGTCGTCCCTCATCCAAAATGTCTTACGACCTCATTGCCAGATATGGTTTCACCGGGGACCAAAGATGAGTCACCATCTGCAACTAGAAGTGATTTCATGATTACATGACAGGTGTGTGTTTGTGCGTGTGTCGGTGAGACAGGGAGGGAGTGTGAGCGTCTGAAAGTGAGAGGGAATGTGTGAGAGGGAGAGAGGTGTGCAAGTCAGAAGGCACTGATGAAAAGGTGAATATATAACAGCAGAGCACAGCCAAGCTGAAGCACAGGCTTTTATATTTTAAAAATACTGATGTAAAAGTTTTCTCTAAGTGCAGCTGAAGCAACTTTTTACACATGAAAAAGTAATAACAGTGACAACATTGCTGCTACTATGGCTAATAATAACAATAATTACACAGATAGACTGATAGAATATGTCATTAATCACAACGGGAAATTGTAGCATTACAGTAGCCAACAATAATTATGATAATAGAAATTCCGGGAAACATCTCCTCATTAAGTTGATTCAATTAAATATCTCCCCAGCGGGTTAAAAAAGTAGAGCGAAAACATGCATCTCAATGAAGTATACAGTAAATAATTAAAGTGCATAATACTAAAAAGTGCTGAAGTTAACATTTTTTAGCTTTACAAATGTTCACATTAGCACACTGTGGTAAACCCTTTCTTCCAATTAGACATGTTCCATCAAGTCGCCTAAATATCTTCCATAAAAGTGACATGATGATGAAACAAAAACAAACAGTAATCATAAAAAACTTTAAGCTGAGCTGAGATTTTATGCGTCTTTAAACTGTAAATCTGTAACTCTGACAAACAGCTGTTTGAACAGTGTAACTTATCATGTGTGACACATTAAAGATGCCTGAAGTTCTTCACTGCTCTGTAAGGCTATAGCCTGTTTTACCACTTAAACCCTCAACCCAGACAGATGGTGTTTCGCGCTCACAGGCTGTCTGCTGTGTCAGACTGAATCAGATCAATAACTCACATTCATTATCAAAAAATGTATATCCCCAGCCGCGAGCTTTAATTGTCATGTTGCGTTAGATTAGGACAGTCTAGACCAGTGGTTCCCAACCTTTGTCCTTAAGGGCCCCTTTTCTGTCATTGAGTAAAGTGACGACTGCGGACTAAGTGACATATTGTATGGTTAATTCATATTTTGTTCAATGCATAACAATAACAGTGCAGAGCAACTAATTAACTGTACAATTAATCCAGATAATGACTGCAACAACTACAGGAAGTTTGTGTAAAATGAGCGATTAGATGAATTTCGAGCAGATCACATTTTTTATTCATTATTTTAGGAACTTTTTTAAACAATTCTCTGTTTGTTTTATGCATTTTTTTAACAATCAAAGTCAATACGCTTCTTTTTTTGACAGATTTCATGTTTTCCTCTTCCTGACACTTGGCCGCTGTGCTATTAGCTCTTTGGTTGCTTTAACTCTTAACTTTTCTAGTGCAGGATGAGGCTATTTAGCAGAGAGTGAAGGCTCTGTGACTAAGGCTTGTGTTCAGGTCTTCACTGTGCCCTCATCCTGTATCTTGAGTAATAAACTAAATTTTAGAAAATAATTTCATTTAGTTTTCTTCACAGAAATGAGTAAAACACAGTGGTTAGCATTGTTGCTTCAAAGCCTGAGGGTTCCTGGTTTGAATCCCTGGGTGGGAGTACCCCTCTGTGTGGAGTTTGCATGTCTCCCCGTGTCAGCGTGGGTTTTCTCCGGGTACTCCGGCTCCCTCCCACGTCAAAGACACGCAGGTTAATTGATGACTTTAAATTGGCCGTAGGTGTGAATGTGAGTGTGAATGGTTGTCTGTCTCTATTTGTCTGGTGACCTGTCCTGCCTCTCGCCCAGTGTCAGCTGGGATAGGTTCCAGCACACCCGCAATCCCTAACAGGATAAACAGTTACGGAAAATGAATGAATGAATGAACTGAGATGTAGGCCTACTGTATATTTTTTTGTTGAACAATTTTCTTACATCCCTTAAAATCAAGAAGGCCTCAAGACCACCATGAAGCTTCGGCGCTGCCTAGTGGGGGTTTGGAACCCCCAGGTTGGGAACCAGTGGTTAAGACGATGCAGAAATCCATTTAAAAAACAATCTATTTCAAGCTTAATGTAAGGAAAGAATAAAGTTTTCATTTGCTGAAACATTCATACTTATGTTAAAAACAAGAGTGATGGGGCACCCTGGGATCTCACTGGGTGGGCGTGTGCCATTAAAGCTAAGTCTTTACTGCAGCGGCCCAGGGTTTGAGTTGCTGCATGTCATCCCCTCCCTTATCCCTGCCTCTCCCACTATTACAATAAAGCAAAAATGTCATGGAAAACAGAAAGATGTGTTATTCAAACATGAAGAAATACTTCACCCCCCAAAATGACCACTTGTATATCAATTACTCACCCCACGCTACCTTGAATCCAGAAAGTAAAGCTTTTTCTCACATGCCTCCACGGTGGATGATGGATCCAAAAGCGGAGAAAAATCTTGATGAATTGAGTCTTGAGTCCACATTTAACAACAGAAAAACTATATCAAAACATCTGTTTGCAAACTCTCACACAACTCATGCAGTATATCCAAGTCTTATTTATCCACTCTAATGCTCAGCACTTCCCAAACAGGCAGCCCTTTCCAACAGGAAACTGAATTGAAAGTGAAATGTATCTATGCTAACTTTGATTCATCAAGCATTTTCTCAGTTTGAGGATCCTTTGTTCACCACTGAGTCAAGTTTTCTTCATGAATTCAGCCTAACACAGTGAGTAATTAATACACAAGTGGTTATTCTGAGCGTGAAAATCAGTGTGTTTGTGTAGATTTTAGCCGGTGAGTAAAATCTTGATTCTTTTCGCACCTTTTGTCTCTGGAAATACCAAAGAGCTTTAGTTTTGCTTGAGCCTTACTTGGTTGGATGTTGTTAGTCATCATTTGCTTTGACACCATGTTTCCCTCAATGCTTCCGCTCATGCAGCAGAATCAGTTTCCTGGGGCATCTCTGTACTGTACATCGGGTGACACATGATGTTGTGACAAGCATTATTGCCTCACAGCACAAACAAAGATGCACAGATTATACTTTTTCTCTCCTGGTATCGATTCTGATAGCTCAACTCTGGATATCTGCTCATTCAGAGTACCAGTTTATGCTTTGTTTTTTTTTTTTTACAAATTTAAAGGAACTGTTCACCCCAAAATGAAAAATATATATTTTTCTTCTTTCCTGTAGTGCAAGTCATCAATCTAGATTGGTGTGAGGTTGTGAGTTGCTGAGTGTTGGAGATATCGGCCATAGAGATGTCTCTAATATAATGGAACTAGATGGTGCTCGACTTGTGGTGGTCAAAGTGCCAAAAACTACATTTGAAAAACTCAACAGTAGTGTCTTTTTCCAGACTTCAGTACCTGGTTACTATAGATAATCCACAGACCTTGTTGTGAGTAGTTTCAAGAACTAGTTTCTTTCTACCGAACTACACCCACAAAACATATATATAACTTGCCAAATGATATTTGTATCTCCTCATGGACTGCTCATAACAAGGTCTGTGGATTATTTTGAGTGACTAGTCATGTGTCATGATTTCTGGAAAAATACATTGATATTGTGTTTTTCAAGTGTATTTTTGGCGCCTTGAGCACCACAAGCTGAGCACCGTCTGGTTCCAGTATATTTAAAGCCCAGTACAGACCAAAGATTCGCGATGAGAGGAATTGAAACAGGCATCTACTGTACTTGCAATGTGCCGTTCTGCAGCGTTCTTAAACCCTGCCCGTTCACACCAATGCAACTACATGAGATGGTGTATCATCTCTATGCAACTG